AGCAGGGAATAGGAAGACACTTCTAAAGCCAGGTCACTGAGATACAGGTGGTATGAAAACAGGGACAGATTTGATTTCAAATTTTGGACTCCTGTCTCTACAGGAGGTACTCAGAAGGAGAGTGATGTAGACGTGCTTTGGTTACTTTGTAAAGCTTCTTCTTCAGAACCCCACTGATGTGTATGAGATGGGTTTGGTTTGGAAGAGATAGCTCTGTGTTTGGGTGGTTTGGCACCACGAGGTGTCACCGTTGCTGCACAGCTCCCTGCAGGCACATCCCTGGGGTGTAGCTGCACTTTGGCACTTCAGGAGCTCTGAACTTGTTTTGTTGAGGGTTTTGCTGGAACAGAATTAATATATTAAAAAGAAGTAATTTTTTCCCTTCACTTCTAAATCTGGCAGTTTATTTGAAAAGCACTGACACTTTTGCAACTTGCATCTATATGAGCTTGTGTGAAGGTCATCTGGGTTTGGGCTGCATGTTCTGTTTGTGTTAAGGGTCAGTCTGTCCAGAGACCAACCCTCTGATGCTGCTGTTAGGACACTGCATAGGTTTCTGGTTTGCCTGATTTTAGAATGGGGGTTTAAATTTGATTCTTCTGTGTCAGCAGTGTGTTACCTTATCGCTGGGTGATAACAGGCATCTGTCTAAAAAAGGATGGACTTTCTAACTGTTTTCTCAAGCAGAGTTCCTATGAAACTGCTAGAATTAGGGTGGTGGAGGTTTTGTGCAGACTTCCAGAAGAAGCTTTGCTGGAACATTAAGTTTTGATGCATCTTTTTAATTTTAGTATGGCCAAAAAAGTGATGAATTGGAAAATTAATACTTGAAAAATCACAACTGTGTGCAGCTCTTGCAAGTAGAAGAGATAGAACTTCTATGAAGACTGTTCACTGTGATCCATGTGACTAGACAGGTTGAGCTTTTTCTTTCTAGTGAAGAGAAAGAAACAGAGATGGGTTTTCTCTTTCTAAGAAAGACAGTGTCAAAGATTCTAATGCTGCTGCAAGAAAAGAAACTTTTCTCTTTCTAAGAAAGACTGTGTCAAAGATTCTAATGCTGCTGCAAGTGCGTGTTTGTGTCTAGATCTATATGTGTATGTGTGTGTATTTGGCTAAATGATACTCTGAAGATCATATAATTGACATTTCAAAAATGATCCCGTTAACCCTTACCTGTAGGGGGGTTAGTTTAGGTTTTGTATACTTGATTTGGGAATATAATTTTCTGAAATGGTATGATAATTTCAAGTCTACAAGACTTAGAATGAAATTCTATCCACATAGATACAGTGTAGTGAGGAAGAGTTGGAGAAGCCTTTCCAATGTGCCTACTGATATTTGGTTACAGAATGTGTGCTCTGCATAGATACATCACAGTGTGCTTTACAGAAATTAACCACCCCTTCTCTGAGCCCTTGTCAGCATAGGTATTTCTGTTAGTTTAGTCAGTCATTTCACACTTGCAGGATGCTCTGACTTGTATCCTAATGCGCCTGGCTACCATGGTATCAGCTGTGAGCTGCTGCCCACTCCCACTGCTGCTCAGCACTTGCTTCTGTGCTACAGGTGCTGAGATGCAGAGGGACCTGCCCTCTGACCAAGCAGTGGCTCTGGAGTGGGGGCTGCCATGGCCCCAGCCCCCAGTCACATCCTCCCACTGGCTGCTCTGGAATCACAGAAAGGTTTGGATTGGAAAGGACCTTAAAGACCATCTAGTTCCAACCTCCCTGCCATGGGCTAGGACACCTTTCACTAGAGCAGTTTGCTCAGAGCCCCAGCTCAGCCTGGCCTTGGACACTGCCAGTGATGGCGCAGCCACAGCTTTGCTGGGCAACCTGTTCCAGTGCCTTACTATCCTCAGAGTAAAGAATTTCTTCCTAACATCTAAGCTAAACCTGACCTCTCTCAGTTTAAAGCCATTACCCCTTGTCCTATCACTGTGTGGCCTTGTAAAAAGTGCCTCCCCAGCTTTCTTGTGGGCACCACTCTGAAGGACCTGTTGAAGATCCCAGTACTACACTAGGTTTAATGCAAATTGATCACATGAGACATTGGACAGCAGTGGCTTCTCTCATATTTTGATTAAATAGCCACTTCTGGTTTTCTTGTGAGTTTGCAATGTAGGTTTGTTCATTCCATGCACTTTTCAAGAAGCTGAGGTGTAGTGTCCTCTTAGTAGTTATGTTTATTTATTTCAGGTATTTCTTTTTACTGTTAGTGTTGCTACAGATTGCAAATCATCTAAAGTAAATGTTTGATGTTGATTGTAGACTCCTGTGTCACATGAAAAATTGGGATGTCTTGTGATGAAGAGATATATATATTGGGATAGTTAATTCAGACCTGCACATGAAAATCAAAATAAAGTTAGGTGAAATTAGTTTTGAAATGTAATTAAATTTCTCATCATAGAGGAATTCTCTTCTGACCAGATGAGTTACAGTAGTAATACTGATACTTTCACCTAAATTCTTACACAGACATACATATGTATGTGTCTATATATACACTATATATGTGCATATTTATAGTAGTGGAGTACAGACCAGTGGTTTGCAGTCCGGTGCTATGTACACACAAAACCACATACATATATATCAGACACCTTTTTGGCCTATAGTCCAATGCTAATTAAAGCCACTGTTGCTTCTTACTGGACTCATGTCACCAGTCATGTGATGAGACTCTTCTGGTCAAATACCTGGTATTTCTGGCTTTTATTTATTTTTCTTTCAAAGGATGAGCATATCAGGAGTTGCCTTTGAGGTAATTTGCCATTTGACTTAGGACAGGCTTCAGTCTTTAGAGTAATAAAAAAGAATCATCCTGGCTTATCTGAAAACAAAATTTTTTGAGTTGGAATATAAATGTTGCAAGGAACTCAGAAAGAGTAATCAATGGCCTCAGGTAAAGGCTGGGGTTAAAAGAAA